GGAGGAGGAAGGGGGTAGGAGTGACAATAAAGGGCAGCATGAGGGGGAATCTTTGTGCTGCTGGAATAATGATTGTGGTGGTGGTTAAACACCTGTAACACGTCATAAAATGGCTTAGAGCCATAAACTCACATTGTGCCTGTGGCCGTTTCCAGGTCTGATACTATATTGGAGGCACTTGAGATGTTACCATTGGGGGAAACTGGGGGAAGGGTACACAGAACCTCTCTGCATTCTCCTTTCAACTTCCTGTGGATCTATAATTACCGAAAAACAAGAAGCATAGAAAACAAAAGGAGATGGCTGTTGTGAGGCCATGATCTGGTGAGATGCATCCTTACAGTAACATATCCTGGGGGCCTTGTTTGTGCTCGAGCTCAGCCGCTAAGTCGTGTCTGACTCTTTGAGACCTCATGGACTGTAGTCTGCCAAGCTCCTCTGTCCATGGGATTCTCCAGGCAAGAATACTGGACTGCATTGCCATTTCCTTCTCCAGGGGGTCTTCCCAACCCAGGGATCGAATTTGTGTCTCCTGCTTGGCAGGCGATTTTTTACCACTGAGTCACCTGGGAAGCCTGGGAGCCCTGTTGCAAGGCCTTTCTTTGCTTTCCTGCCTGTTTTACCAAAGACATCATCATCAAACTCTGAGGTCCCTTTTCCGATGCAGTCCAGAATGTTCTATCACACTTAAACAGCATCACCACCATTCTGAGATATCTATCTATATAATACGTAAATGTAGTAACAGCAGTGTGTGTGACATGTCCCAGCAGAACATCAGTTCAGAAAGACTCTCATTTTGAGTTGAGGAAAGAAACAGGTCCAGAGTGAAGAGGCCCTGCCAAGCTCACCCAAGCAGCTGACAGCAGCGATGGGCCCAGAGATGGGAACTGGTGGCCAGCCTGGAGCCCCTCTGTTATACCACCTGCCTCCTGTCTTTGCAGCTGAGTACCAGAGGTTTGCAATGGCATTAAAATTCAGAACGCATCCAAAGGTTAACTCTGAAAAGCAACATCCAAAGAATGTATCAGCGACATCAGGGCATCTCTTTTAATTGCCTATTCACGCAGGCAGAAAGTCTTTTCATATTCAGAGCTAAACTTAGAGACACGTCCTTTTGTGGGGCTCTGTTATCTGACTGCCTCATCAGGAATGGGAACTAATGTGCAATGTGATTGCTGAGTTTGAGTTCTATTTTTTTTTTTCTTCCTATGAAGCAGGAAGTTTAAAATGTGCTGGGTTATTTTTAAAGAGGGTGAAAAAACAGGCATCCTACCAACTTCTGTAACAGCCCTGTTGAAGGGCACGTGCTGCTTTATTCAAGGCACTGGCCAGCTGGGAGGTGGAGCAGTGGCCTGAAGTCTCACCGGGGAGTTTCCTGGTGGACGGGCTGGGGATGAGTGTCCCTACACTCAAGTGGCAGCAAAGGACATGGGCTTAGTTGCTGACTTGTTGTGGACAGAGATCTTGGGGTGTTTTGGCAGTGATATCCCGCAGCTCAGTCGTGTCAGATACTTTGCCACCGCATGGACTGTAGCCCGCCCGGCTCACCTGTCCTTGGGTCTTCCTAGACAAGAATACTGGAGTGGGTTGCCATTTCCTGCTCCAGAGGATCTTCCCAACACGGGGACCGAACCCACGCCCCCTGCGACTCCTGCACTGTCAGCTGGATTCTTTACCACCGCGCTGCCTGGGAATGACAACCCACTCCAGTGCTCTTGCCTGGAAAATCCCATAGACAGAGGCGCTTGGTGGGCTACAGTCCACGGGGTCGCAAAGAGTTGGGCGAGACTACGCACGAGCGTGAAGTTCCTAAAGGAAACAAACTGCTAGATATCACTGCCCAAAAAAAGAAAAGCAAAACCCAGGTCCATAGGGTCACAAAGCTTTGGACACGACTGAAGTGACCTAGTGTGCAGGCATGAAAGAAAATCTAGTTGAACTTGGTTTCACTAAGTTAAACATTTCTTGCTCACCGACATTGCAAAGGGTACTGTCCTAGGAAGAAGATTTGCAACACAATTGTGTTGGTGCAATTTTCTCACCCTCCGGAAGAACAGCAAAACCCTAGAGAATCATAAACCACCATGGGGGAACACTGCAGCAGAAAGTTCAAGAAATGAATGGCAAACGGGTCAATCTTCCTTTCCTTGGGTGACTCATCCATTTCCTCTTCTCTCTGCTCAGTCTCAGAAGTTCAGAACGCTTTTTCTTTGCTACTGCAAGTGGAGGCCCTGTCAAAATACCTTCTCTAATATCCTCCCAACAACCCTGTTAACTAGCTATTTTTAATTTTTTTAATTTTATTTTTTTCCCATTTATTAGTTGGAGGCTAATTACTTTACAATATTGTAGTGGTTGTTGCCATACACTGACATGAATCAGCCATGGATTTACATGTGTCCTCCATCCCGATCCTCCCTCCCGCCTCCCTCTCCGTCCCATCCCTCTGGGTCTTCCCAGTGCACCAGCCCTGAGCACTTGTCCCATGCATCCAACCTGGGCTGGTGATCTGTTTCACCCTTGATGATATACATGTTTCAATGCTGTTCTCTCAAAACATCCTAACTAGCTATTTTTTAAATGCAGTTTCTTAAAAGAGGAAAATGAGAACTAGATGGTGCAGTGACTTTTCCACCAGTTCAAAGTGAATCAGAGGCTGAATCAGCTGAGACAGCCAAGGTTTCAGGCCTGCATTGGAGCCTGACGCCCAGTAGCAGGCACTGTGGAGAAGCTGGGAAATTTTCCCCTGACTTGAGCCCTGAGGCCAACAAGCCCAGGAAACGCTCCCCCAGTTGGGGAGGGTGTCCACCTGGGGCCGGTGGGAAAGGGAATCAGGAGTGGGAGGATGTGAATACGTCTCTGACCACTCAACTGGGACTGAGGCTGGCGTATGTAAGGCGAGTGATGTGGGGAGGTGGGTTGGGACCCCAGGATGATTGAAACAGATTTTTTTTTCTCAAAGACTCACCTAGGATTCTTGCCCTATATCCACGCCCAGAGCACACAGCCTGAGGTTAATAAGCGCTGTGTGTTAACAGCCTACAGGAGACAACCCTGAGTGAAACATCACCCAGATGGAGTTAATACTTTTTGCCTGAGGTGTCCCAGGAAATCTCTGGGGTGGAGAGGCTCACAGATCTCCTCCATCCTTACCTGTGGCCTGACTGCACATCTTCCAGCTTCTGCCTTCCTGTGTTGGGAGATCACACCTTCATCTTGGTGCGATTTGGGTGAAGAATCCTCTTTCTTCAGGGGAGAATGGGTGGCACTCAAACCTGCTGTATATAAGTACCATTGCAAGCTGAGAGGGAGGGGGCAGCAGAAGCCGAGTAGAGCCGTTTGTGCTGATACTCGTGGCTGCAGGCGCAGGAGCCGTCTGACTTCTCACTGCAAACGGAAGGAGTACACAGAGCTGTGTGGCGGGCGGGGAGGCTCCCCTGTCTCCCCCAGATACTAAGGGGCCCTTGTACAGTGGCTAACAACGGAGTGACAAAGCCCCCTGTCGGACAAGTGAAAGGCAAATGCTGCAGACACACCTTAGCTTCCAAGAGGAACACGTTAAATGCCTTCTTCACGCTGATGCTATACAGAGGGTGATGCAGTTAAAAATAAACTGACCCTCTGTTCTCCTGGCCTGAATCAGTGCTGGCCCCTGGCACTTAGTTGCTTGGGTTGCCTCCTAAAGAAGAAACAGACCTCGAGTGCTAAGCAGGGGTGACCAGCCCTTGCCAGAGGTGCTTGTGGCGTCTGCTGTGTACTGGGTCTCACTGGCCCAGGGCTCCAGGGGGCTGCCTGGGCCTCCCCGGCTCCCCAGAAGTCTCAGTGGTACAGCAGGGGTCCTCATCTCCACCGGACCTGGGCTGGGTCAGGAGCCAGAGGGGACCAGCTGGGGACTTGGTTTGACCTCCCAAGGGTGAACTTTGACCCTCCATGACCCTCACCCCAATCCCAGAATGCTACCCCCATCCACAAACATCATTTCATGCTGGCCCTTGGGGGGCCAGGTTGAGATCACCTGTTTTTCTCCACTTCCCACCCCTTCCCCCCCAAATCTTCATCAAGGCACACCAGTGACACTCAGAACTCCACTCTCTGTGGATGCAGTGAAACTGCAGGAGGCAAAAGCCCTTCCCAGTGGCACCTATATGTCCTCTGTCTGATGGGAAGGAAATCCAAGTGTCCGCAGTCCCAGGGGACTAGAGCTGGGTTAGCCAAGTTCTAGTTGGCAGAGCAGAAGGTGCTCAGCGACACGAGCACCTATCTTGTATCTAGCATCTCCATTTCCCTTGATTCTTTTTCTGCGGGGTCATCTTTTCTGATTTCTGAACTGAGTGAGTTTCTGAGGCTACAGCTGGGTACAAGTTCACAGGTACCATGAAAACAATGCGTGACTTGGGAAAATCATTTCTTTTAATGACAGAGAAAGCACACCAAACTATAACAGAAGCCCATCAGGAGTTGCCACTGTACATAATCAATGCCCAAAGGCCCTGAGCTAGCATCAGACGTTCACAGGGAAGTCAGTCGCGGTAGGGAACATCCACGCAGCATCTCTGAGGACAGGAGGAGGTGAGAGACAGCGGAGACTCAGGACACGCTGTGTATCTGTAACTTGGATTCCTCTGTAGACAGTTTGTTTTTTCCCCCCTTCCTCACTGGATGGGAGGGGCTGGGGAGGTTGGCAAATGACCAAGTGGAAGAGAAGCCTTGTATCAGCATCAGAGAAGAGCCAACACTGCAGACGGATGTGGCCCGCGTATGCCATGGGTCATACCCAAGAAACAGGACTTGACCTTGGTCCTCTGAACAACGGCTCAGGGGGCTAGGACAACGTTTGAACAGCAGCTCCTTTAGACTCTAGGGTCTGTGCACAAGTTCCCAAAGGCATGCTAGGAAATATGTTTATCAACAAAACTTTGCCATCCCAAAGGGTAAGAGTCATTCTCCTAGTTTTTAACCGCATGTTATCTAGGTTTCAAATGAAAGGACAAGAAAGAAAAGGCAGCAACTCAGAGATTGTTTGGAATATTGTGGCACTTCACTAATCTCTTCTGCTTACAATATATGGCAGAGCAAACGGAACCCTGTCAATATAAACTTTCATTATAGATAACCTATACTGTACACTCTTGGAATACAGAGAGAATCCATCCTATCATACATATTTCATCTTTAAAAATAATCTAACATAGTCATATTCTCTGGCTAGTAACAAACTATTAACATCTTCTGAGAATACAGAGAGAACTCTGGGATTAATAGTAAATTCTCCAACGTGCCCCGCCCCCATCCCCTATGCAGCATCATCTATGAACACACTTCTGCAAGAGCATCTCAGGGACATTCGTAACTATGGAAGGAAATGGATATGTTAGTTTCACCAAATGGACTTTTAGCAAGAAGTGATGGGACATTTTTACCTTGGCAAAAATGAAGCACAAACGTAACAATTTACAGGTTCGGGCCCATGCAAATGCATGTGTGATTTTTTTTTAATGTGGGGGGATTTTATTCTCACCCCGAAACCACAATCAGCATGCAGGTTTTTTTTTCAACTACTGAGTTAGAGATAATTATTGGCAGTGCACCTCTTTTGTGTAACCATGATCCCTAAGGCAAGGTTATTATTTCACCTTGTGTAGAATATCAGCAATATCTTGTCAGATGCATGTTTATACAGTACAGACCTGCTACTTACTGTTTTTTTCTTGAAAAAAGAAAAGAAATCTCAAAACACAGATCCCTAAACACAATTCAGTTGAAAATGAACTGTTAAGCTTTTAGAAATATATTTTAAACTACAAGGCTGCCCTGTTTTGGGGGTTTTTATATGAACATTTTAAAAAGTTCCCACCCCTAAAAATTTGTCTTCGTTATTGGTAACAGTCTCACCAATTTGCTATCCTGTTGACTCATGGAACTGCAGCTACTAAGGTCCTTAATGTGTAATAAATATAATGCTATTCAGGGTCAGTATGGTGAAGTTCTCCAACTGTCCACCTGGAACCTGAATGAGCTTTAGTTCTCAGTCCGCCCACTGGACAGAGGCCCTTGGCAAGGGGTGTTCAACTGCCCCGGGGGGCTTTCAGATGAGGTCAGCGTGGCTGCCCCATGGTCTTCTACCTCTGGATCCAGGTGCACTCTGATCTGTAGGCCAGTGGCATGTCCTTTCTTTCTCAACAAGAGCTCACGGGAGCTGCATTTGCTTTGTCAAGAGCAGCTGAGGCAGTTGAGGCAGCTCCTTGGCTCAGCCAAACACAGACGCCAGGTGAGACGTGTAGGTCCACGGGAAGCCAACGTAGCAGCCGAACTGGCAAGTCCCCGGGAACACTCCTGGACCGGACGTCTCATACAACAGAGCCTTTGGAAGATGACAAGTGGATTGACTGAATCCTGATGGCCAACGTCCTCTGTAAGTCCTGCAGCACATCCTGGCCCGTGCCCTCACCGTTTTTGTCATATAGGAGCTGCTTGAAGGCTTCATTTTCGATAAGGACCATCATGTTTTTGAGAAAGTAGCCTTCGCAATATGCTGAGAGCTCTGTGACTCCAAGAAACTGTGGAGAGTGGAGAGGAAGCACGAGATGGTTATGTTTCTGAAAGCACCTGTTTTCATCTACACTCTGGTGAGTACCTATTAAGGTCGCTTGACTGCAACAGTGGCCCTGATTCTGCGTCCTTGCTGTATTCACAGCCAGTGGACGTGACCTGGCAGCTCCTCCCATCGGAGGGCTGAGTTCATTTCTCCAGGCCTTGGCCTTGTGAGTTGCTCTGGCTAAGAGGATGCAGCTATGTGAGAGGTGCCAGTTTGGAGCTGGCTTCACGTGGCTGTGTGTGCTTCCCCAAGCCCTCTCCCTTCTGCAGACACAGTGCTAATCTCTTTACATGATGCATGCAGGCTAAGTTGCTTCAGTTGTGTCCGATTCTCTGCGACCCCATGGGCTGTAGCCCTCCAGGCTCCCTGTTCATGGGATTCTCCAGGCAAGAGTACTGCAGTGGGTTGCCATGCCCTCCTCCACGGGATCGTTCTGACCTAGGGATCGTAATCGCATCTCTTACATCTCCTGTATTGGCAGGCAGGTTCTTTACCACTAGCGCCACCTGGGAAGCCCCCATAGAAGCTGCTAAATATCTCACCATGCAGAGGACAGACCCCTCGGCAGACAATTATGTAGCTCACGTTATTAGTCAGTGCTAACGCCAAGAAACTGATGGACAGACATAGTTCCCGACACACTAAACCAATACAGCAGGGCTGTCATCAACCTGCCTCACGTTGCAACCCCAAGCAGAAGACTTGGCAGACAGTAGATGCAGTACGGATTTGTTGAATGTGTGAATGAGCAGTTCACTCTCAGAGTTACAATACCAGCAGCAAACATGCATTGACAGCATCGTGCTAGACACTTCATGTGCATCACCTCATTTAATCTTCAAATTTCCCTGAGGCAGGTACTATTACCACCTCTGATTTACAGATGAGGAAACTGGGACAAGAGAGTAGCTGACAAAAATTCACACAACATGTCAAAGGCAGAACCAGGAGGTGAGCCCTGTAACCCAAGTCCTGAAGGCTGTGTGTTTAACCATTAGGATGCACTGCCTCTAGCCTGATCCCATTAAATCTTGGAAACATGCTTGCTGGAGGAATTCATGTTTGAGATGAAGAAACAAATGTGGGTATGAGGGCTGGCTGTCTGCATTCAGGCCTTTTCTTTGGTTTTCAAAGCTGGCAAGTTTCTCTCTTGCAATGAGCTGCATGCTCAGAAGTTAGTTAAGTGCTCCCTGAGATGATATCCTGCTGCTTTATTTAGATGCTGAATTATCTAAATTATCTGAATGTGGAATTCATTGTTCTGAACTCCCTAATATTCTGTCCCTTAAGCCATAGACGCACTTGCAGCTGCTCGCTGTGGATGGTGGAATGATAATGAGGCAGTGCCAACTGGGCAAAGGAGGAATGAGTGGGAGACTTGGATTCAAATCGGGGTGCCCCCATTCTTCTGAATTTGTGACCAAGGCTGCTTTATTTGGCTTCTGGCTTTAGGTTCCTCATTTTCAAACTGGAAATTATGTCCTCACATCATTAACCTGTTGGGGGAACTGAGTGGAACATAACTGATGGTGGGACTCTGTCATCTGTCACACTTAGGGGAGGCAGGATAGGAACGGGGGTAGGGAGGGGGCTCTGGAATTTATTCCAGACTGTGCCATTCCAGCCATCTGTGGCTGGGCGAGTTATTGAATCTCTGTGTCTCAGTATTCCTCTCTCTAAAATGGGGGCAAATAATAATACCCACCTAATAAGCTGTTGCTGGCCTTAGGTGAGGTAATACATGGCATGTTCGGAACAGTGACTGTTTGCAGTCAGCATCAGCACTCACTCAGTATTAGCTGTCATGCTAAATGTACACTATTTATAATTATTACTCTCATCTCACTCATTTATATCCAGGGACCCACATGGACAAAGTAGGTGGCTAGGTTAGGATAAGGGGAATTGGCTGTATCTATGGAACCTAGTTCAGCTAACTGGTCCATAGTAGGACCAAGCCTGTAACCTTGAACTCACTGACCCCATGTGATAATTCAGTGAGCCAAAGACCTGTCTTCATAAAAATCATATGCAACTTTGGGCAGTTCAAATCACTTCTCTGGGCCTTAGTTTCCCAAGCCACAAAATGAGGGGGCTTAGACTAGTGAGTACCATGCCCTGAGTATTTAAGACGTGGACATACCAGCTTATTCTGAGAGGCTTAGGGAGCTTGTTGAGGTTTATCAAGTGAGTAGGTTTGTTATTACCCAAATGTTACACAGATGCATAGTATGCTGGAGCTGGAAGAGTTCTAAGGAACGCTTTAATTCTTTCAAGATGAATCCAGTTTTTTGAGTTACAGAGAAAAGGCCTCATTGTACATGTGGGGAACCTGTGGCTCACAGTTGTCTGTCTCTGATTCTGGGGACACAGAGAGCCCCTTTCTCTTACCACTCCACGCCACTTGCTTTGTATAGGCACATTTCTTATTGTAAGCTAGTGTAATTAGAGAATAAGTACTTAAGTTTACACATGGTGATATCTACTGAATGGTGACTATACATCATATGCTTGCCTACTTTTACATATCTAATTACAGACAGAACAGGGACTGGAACTCTCACCATCTAGACCAACAGTTGACAAACTACAGGCCTGGGTGCCAAATGTGGCCTGGATGTGAGAGTTAGACTGTGAAGGAGGCTGAGCGCTGAAGAATTGATGCTTTTGAACTGTGGTGTTGGAGAAGACTCTTGAGAGTCCCTTGGACTGCAAGGAGNATGTTCTTCTCATCACAGTGCCCCACTGAGTTTACTGCCTTAGCTTAGATTCAATTTGATGAACAGGCTTATTCTTTTTCTCAAGCTGAAAGACACCCTGAAAGAGCCATCAGAGGTTCCAGAGCCTCTTCTTCATGACTGAATAGTTTGGGACAGCTTTGCTAGGAAAACAAAGATGATGACGCCATGCATTTATGGGCTGGACTTCTCTTCTGGATAAAACTTCACAGATGTCACTAATGGTTAGGTGCAGAACAGAAGTAATACTGCCAAGAGCTTGCTGATATTTGAAACATGGTTATTAGTGCCTAAATGCCTGCATTTCCGAGGGTTCCAAACCGAGTGTTGGTTTCTTTCTTTTCTGGCTCTTTTGCTAACCCAGCCTCAGTCTGCAGCACAATCTGCCAGTAACAGAATCCACATGGCAGGTTGCTGTTCATGCTGCAGGGCACATAGAGGGCGCATGGGGTCGGGGCTGGCACTGCCCTGGCCTCCATGCAAGTATCATGAAGGGCAGGTGCTGACCTTGGAAATGTCCCAGGATGAGGCTGAGAGGGCAGGCAGAGGCTGGCCGGCTGCAGAAGGCCAAACTCTGGCTGCAGAAGGCAGCTCTTGGCCACAGGTGCTGTAAGCCTGTAGCACAAACGCGTCCCCAGTCCGGGCTCACCTTGCGTTGGCTGTGTTATTAAATAGCAAGAGAGCTACAGAAGCTGCCTGCCAAGGAGGCCGAAGTGATTCAAATGGGACTGTGGTGTGCAGGCCTTGCTGCATTCCCAAGGAGATAGACCACGGCAAAGCTACTGTGGATGTGGGGCTCACAGGGCGATTTGGGCATCCGTGGCCAGAGGAGGGGGCAGAGGAAGGTGAAACTAATCAGGCCCTCTTCCTGGGTAAAGAGTTTTCTCTGGACGTGCTTTCTGCAAAGTAACCAGTTTAAGATAAAAAAAATTTTTGTGTGTGTCCCAAGAAACCAGGTTTTGGTAAAAGTCTCATTTAACCAAAACACCCACAGTGAGTGGGGAGCAAGTAGCCTCCCTGTATCTTTTGATTTACTGATGACCCATCAGAAAATCTTCTGAGTATCAAGAATGATCACAAATATTTCAAACAGGTATTAGGCCAGACTGTAAACACAAGGAAGAACCTGTGCTTTGAAGTGAAGTTTACCCTTCTGGGCATATACACCCAAAGAACTGAAAGCAGAGACGACAATGGATATTTGCACACCCCTGTTCACAGCAACATAATTTACAGTAGCCAAGAGGTGGGAGCAACCCAAGTGACCATGGATGAACGCATGAAATATGCTACATACATACAATGGAATACACTCAGCCTTGAAATGAAATTCTGACACATGCTACAACATGGATGAACCTTAAAGACATTGTGCTAAATGAAAGAAGGCAGCCACAAAAATAAACCAAACAAATACTGTATGATTTCACTTATATGAGGTACCTGGAGCAGTAGAATTCAGAGACAGAGGGTAGGATGATGGTTGCCAGGGGCCATGGAGGAGGGGGGAACGGGGAGCTTGTATTTAATGGGTATAGTTTCAGTTTAGAAAGATGAAAAGTTCTGGAGACGGATAGTGACGATGGTTGTACAACAATGGGAATGTGCTTAATGCCACTGAAGCATACACTTAGAAATGGTAAGTGTCATGGTAAATGGTAAGCTTCACATTGCATATATTTTACCACAGCGAAAAAAAATCTCAGTCATAGCTGTGTGACCTTAAGCAAGTTACTTCACTTCTCTGTGCCTCTGCTTCCTTATTATAACATGGACTAATGAAAGGATTGTGGTGAGGATTAAAAAAGGTAATGCAACAGGGCTTTAAGCACAGAGACCTGCACATGAAAAGGGCTTAGAGAATGTTGACTTAAGACAGAAAATAATATCTCAACCACGACTTTTTTTTTTAACAACAAGCAGAAAAACCACATCAGTGGTTCCTCTACAGACTGTGGATGTGGGAGGCATATGTGCTGAGCTCCAGTTCTATCGAAGAGGAATACTTTGTTTTAAATGAACTCCTAATCTTAATTCATCTCATTGTTTCTTTCTAGCAGATGCTAATCCCCGTGTCCTGAGCACATGAACCAAAATGAAGTGGTACCTGGACATATGATTTTAATCTCCACTTGTGAAATGAATTGGATGAAATTGGTGGTTCACTGATTTTACTCCAAAAACTGGACTGAGGACTGGTCTTAGGGCTGAAATCACAACAGTCACCCTAGGAGCCTGTTAAAAATATAGATTGCTGGACTCCCCAGCAGAGATCTGGGGTGATAGGCCAAACAGAGGAATATTCCAAATGTCTCCCCAGCTGTTGGGTCCACCTGACTAGGAGGACTCCTTGGACTTCTTTAGCACTGACAATCTGTTCTCAACCTTGGCACATCTGAGAGTCACCCAGGAAGTTATGAAAAAAATATCTCTCTTTCCCAGGTTCCACCCCCAGAGACTGATGAATTGGTCTATGAGAGGTCCCAGGCATGGGGATTTTAAGTGAGTGCCCAGGTGATTCTTCCATGCAGCCAGTTTTGGGAACCTCAGTTCCAGAATAACGGTTCTCCCCCATGAACAACTCCAGAACCACAGGGAGGGCTCGCAAAGCTGCACACAACCAGGCCTCACCCCCCAGTTTCTGACTCAGTAGGTCTGAGTGGGGCCTCTAATGTGCATTTCTGACAAGCTCCCAAATGATGCTGGTGCTGCTGGATTGGAGACCCCTTGGAGAACCACTGTTCCAGAACCTTGCTGTTTAAGTGTGTGGCCTGTGGCCTAGACCAGGTGCGGAGGCTTCACCTGAGAGCTTGTTAGAAATGCAGAACCAGGGCCCAGCCTGGGCCCGCTGAAGCAGAGCCTGCAATGTGATTCATGCACACGCTGGAGTTTGAGGATGACTACGCTTTTAAAACTTCTGGCTTTCTGCTTCCATTGTATTCTGGAGGGGCGGAAGAAGGGAAAGACATCTCTCCTAAAGCAGGAGGCAGACCTTAGAAGAATGAGGTCAGCTTCGCCTGGATGCACAGACCCAGCATCCACCCTCTGCCCAGACTCACAGCATCTGCAGAGAAAGCCTCTCCCACAAAAGTGCACGGGGCATGCTTGGACAACGAGAATGGGATTGATTACCTTGGCATGGTTGTAAATATCCACACAGTTGTCGGTATTGATGCTTTTTGCACAGATAATCTCACAGTGTCGCTGCAAAGCCTCCAGCTGGAAAAATTTAGCGGCAGACAGGAGCTAAAAAGCATAAAAAAAGCCTGTTAGAGGTTGGGAGGTGGAAGGAAAGCAACGACTGTGGTGAGAAAACCCTTCATCTCCTACAGTGGAACCCAAGGTGCAGACACTGAGCATAAAGTGTTGATACATCACTTTAAAGCACAAAGGTTACACAGGTGGACTAGGACCCCGCGACAGAACTCGACTGTGGGGGAAGATGGCAGAGGGGAGGCGTGGGGTCAAAGTGAATCAGATTTCCATCTATTGCCGGAGGAAGTCAAGCAAAGACACTTAAAATTGTTACATCCAGAAATAAGGGTCAACGTTTTTATTTGTGTGTGTGTGTGCGCTCAGTTGTGTCAGACTCTTTGTGATCCCATGGACTGTAGCCCACCAGGCTCCTCTGTCCATGGGATTTTCTAGGCAAGAATACTGGAGCCAGTTACCATTTCCTCTTCTAGGGGATCCTCCTGACCCAGGGATTCAATCTGTGTTTCTTGCACCTCCTGCATCAGCAGGCAGATTCTTTACCACTGAGCCACCTGGGAAGCCTGGAAGCATGAACGCTCTTAGCAGGATGGATATCGAGGTGGCTCACTTCCTCCGTTCATTCAGGTCTCAACACAGATATCACCTCAGGTCTCCTCGCTCCATCACTGTCTGGCTCCCTTAACCTGTCTTAGTCTTCTTCACAGCCCTTCTCACACCAGACATGATGTCATGCCCATCACCTTTCCCAGAGGCTGGGAAGGCAGGGATCTCTGCCCTTCTGCATTACAGTTATATCCCAGCCCTGAGCACAGCACCTGGCCTCGGAAGATGCTGAACAGAAGAAGGGGAAGAAAAGGACTGAAGCAAGAGTTCAAAGGGATTGCCTTTGGGGAAAGGACTGAGGGATGGAAGGGAGATGGCTGGATGAGGGGCTTTTTAAGTATTATAAAGCTCTTCTGTATTATTTACATGATTGAAATATATGTTCATTATTTTAATTTGAAAATAGCTTTTAAAAAGGTTTATAAAAGAGTCTGAGTCCTCAGAGTGCAGTCTAAGTTCTGAGGCTGTGATTTGTCAGAGGAGTGGTCCAGAGAGCCAAGACAGGAACTTCGGGGGGCGGGGGAGTGACCATGGAAGGTTTCACAGAATAAGAACAAAGGGATAAAGGGCTCCAGAGTGAACACACTCCAGGCACTGTGACACACGACAGGCACTGTGTAAGCATCTTAGAAACTCTTAAGATCTTCAAAACCCAGTGGGGTAGATATTGTCATCCCCATTCTGTAAGTATGAAAGCTGAGGATCAGAGAGGTTAAATGACTGGTCCAAGATCACAGAAGGGGCAGAGCCTGGATTTGAAGCCAGTCTGGCCCAGAGTCCACGTCTGAACCACCATGAGGGGTCACTTCTTGAACGACTCCTCATGCTTTAACATCTCTCATCAGGCCCCCCGGACTTCCGGCACCTGAATGGGGTCCTGGCTCTTTCTCTCAGGACTAGCAGAGCAACTTTGGCTTCTGATTTAAAGCTACCCTGGTGGTTCAGCTGGTAAAGAACCTACCTGCAGTGCAGGAGACCTGGGTTCATTGCAGGAGACCTGGGTTCATTGCAGGAGACCTGGGTTCAATCCCTGGGTTGGGAAGATCCCTTGGAGAAGGGAATGGCTGCCCACTCCAATATTCTGGACTGGAGAATTCCATGGACTGTATAGTTCATGGGGTCGCAAAGAGTTGGACACAACTGAATGACTTTCACTCACTTAAAGCTACCACCTTTGACACAAGAGTCCCGCTCCTAGGAAGGAGCAGGGGAAATCTTGGCTTTGGACAGATGGGAGCAGAAACAAGGCCGGAGGAGCAAGGAGCGGGAGAACAGAGTTACAAGAGGTGGACAGGAGATGGGGAGAGCCAGGGAGCTGCTGAGTGAAGCCGGGAGAGCTTGTAATTGCCTCTTAGCTTTTGCCTCAATGGACACGCTGAGATTTGAGGAAAGCTTTCAGATGAAATGTTTTTCCTACAAATGACAAGGGAAAAATTGTCAAGGACAGTTTCTGATGATGCTATTTGAGCCCCAGCTGTGCCTGGAACTAGAGGTAGCCTCAGACTCTTCAGTAAATTTCCTTTTCTCCACCCCCAGAGCCAGATAAAATTAGGCTTCACTCAGCTGCTACTGAAAGAGCTCGGATTAGCGCACCCAGCACCCCAGCCTTCCAGGGAGGGGCTCTGGGAAGAAGTCCTTGAGAGATCTGAAGGAGGCAGGCAGGACCCCCAAGCCTGCATCCAAATGCAAACCAGACACAGGCTGCCCCCAGACACCACCCACGTGAGCCACCCACTCAGGACCACGGCGGGCTCCTCACCTCCATTATCTCGTTGTTTTTAATGAGAAGCGACTCTGGGCCACCGTAGTAGAGATACTGCATAACCAGCTGGAAGACAGAACACGGTGAGCACAGGCCCACGGCACACAGACACAGTCCTCTTACCGCCACCCAGTCGAAGCCTCAGAGTGGCTCTGAGTCCCTGCGTGACACCCGTGCTCAGGGGTGGCCATTCCCCCTGGATTGCGGCCTTTCAGGAAGAAGTTCCATTCACAAGTTTTATAGGCTGGATATGTTTTCTTACACCATGCTGTAATCTGTCGCCCTGTGGCTCATCCTCAGGGCCGAGTTAAACAACTCTGAGCTCTGCCCCCCAGGACAGTTTCCCCCCATCTATGGGTGACAATCATGGGTTGTCTTTTCACCTCCAACCCCATCGAGCTGCTCAGAACTGCAGCGCACGTGGCATGACTTAAAGACCCTGAACCAGCCGCAGCTCTCCTGGGAACACGACCCAGTTTGGCCGTAAACCTCTGGTTTCAGCTTCAGAGGGTGACTCTGGGCCACCACAAGGCCACCGTCTCCTTATTATATCTCGATAAGGGCCAAGATGAAGTTATTAAGGGTACAGGGTCTCAATGTTTTATTGATGCTGTGAACTGCCCAAGCCAGGCTTCGTACGCATGACTGGATGGTTGTAAAGTCCCAGAGCTTTGCAAACTGGTGTCTCGTAGGTAGAATCAAGCCCAAGGCTGGAATAGTATTGGCTGTTACCACCTCCCATGAAGCTGAGTGTTAAAACATTAGGTGGCGTGTATCCTCCCGAGTTGGCCATAGTCTCCACCATTCTCTAATGTTTTCTGCCTGCCTAGATGACACATTGACTTTAGCTGCCTGACCCTAAGCAACTGTGTTGGGAAAACCTGTAGACTGTTTACATCCCATCTCTGGATGTCTGTAAAATGAGGTGCCTGGACCGGACTGTGGTCCCTTCTGGCTCTGACAGTCTGACCAATTCAGGACAGTGGCTAAGAGCAAGGTCCTGGAGTTGAACTGCTTCGGTTTCTGACGTGGCTCTGCCACGTAAAAGCTGTGAGACCTGAATTAAGTTAGGCTCTCTATGCCTCAGTTTCATCATCTGTAAAGTGGGGATAATATTACCTACCTCATGGGGTTGTGATGAGAATTAAACGAGTTACAGCTCTCCTGGGAACACGACCCAGTTTGGCCGTAAACCTCTGGTTTCAGCTTCAGAGGGTGACTCTGGGCCACCACAAGGCCACCGTCTCCTTATTATATCTCGATAAGGGCCAAGATGAAGTTATTAAGGGTACAGGGTCTCAATGTTTTATTGATGCTGTGAACTGCCCAAGCCAGGCTTCGTACGCATGACTGGATGGTTGTAAAGTCCCAGAGCTTTGCAAACTGGTGTCTCGTAGGTAGAATCAAGCCCAAGGCTGTGATAGTATTGGCTGTTACCACCTCCCATGAAGCTGAGTGTTAAAACATTAGGTGGCGTGTATCCTCCCGAGTTGGCCATAGTCTCCACCATTCTCTAATGTTTTCTGCCTGCCTAGATGACACATTGACTTTAGCTGCCTGACCCTAAGCAACTGTGTTGGGAAAACCTGTAGACTGTTTACATCCCATCTCTGGATGTCTGTAAAATGAGGTGCCTGGACCGGACTGTGGTCCCTTCTGGCTCTGACAGTCTGACCAATTCAGGACAGTGGCTAAGAGCAAGGTCCTGGAGTTGAACTGCTTCGGTTTCTGACGTGGCTCTGCCACGTAAAAGCTGTGAGACCTGAATTAAGTTAGGCTCTCTATGCCTCAGTTTCATCATCTGTAAAGTGGGGATAATATTACCTACCTCATGGGGTTGTGATGAGAATTAAACGAGTTCATACATGTAAGAGGCCTAACAGAGATCTGGCAGATGCATGGCAAGAACTCAGTAAATGTTAGCTTTTTAATTTTCTCTGAGGGTGAAAAATCTTTTTCTAGTGTGAATGACCTTCCATTTTCTTACTCGGGTCATTCAACATCATTTGTGACTGCTTTCAATCTACTTTTTGCAAGTGGGTTTAAAGTAATTGCTTTTAATGTAACTCAATAACAAAAACCAAACAACCCAACCAAAACCCCGGCAGAAGACCTAAATAAACATGTCTTCAAAGAAAACATACACATGGTCAATAGGCATATGAAAAGATGCTCAGCAAGGGCAATTAGTAGATAAATGCAAATCAAAACTATAACAAACTTCTACCTCACACAGGCCAGAATGGCCACTATTAAAAAATCTACAAATAATACATGCTGGAAAGGGTGTGGAGAAAAGGGAATGCTCCTACACTGTCGGTAGAAATGTAAATGGGTGCAGCCACTGTGGAAAACAGTATGGAGATTCCTTAAAAAAATCTAAAAATAGTCTTGCTATGTGATCCAGCAATCCTAAATCCTGGGCATGTATCCAGACAAAACTGTAATTTGAAATGATATATGCACCCCAATGTTCATAGCAATACATTTACAAGAGCTAAGACACGAAAACAACCTAAATGTCCACTGACAGATGAATGGATAAAGAAGATGGGTGTGTATCTATATCTATACATGAATACAGATATATATATACACAATGGAATATTAGTCATAAAAAAAGACTGAAATGATGCCATTTGAAGCAACATGGATGGACCTAGAGATCATCATTCTAAGTGAAGTAAATCAGAAAGAAAAAGACCATATGATGGCACCAAATGTGGAATCTAAAAATGCTTTGATTTAAAGTACAGAGTTCGGACTTTCCTGGTGGTACAGTGGTTAAAAACCCGCCTGCCAATGCAGGGGTCATGGGTTTGATCCCTGGGCCAGGGGGATTCCACATGTCCTGGAGCAACTAAGCCTGTGAGCCACAACTATGAGCCCATGTGACGCAACTACTTAAGTCCATGTGCCTAGAGCCTATGCCCTGCAACAAGAGGAGCCACTGCAATGAGAAGCCGGCGCACCACAGCTAGAAAGTAGCCCCTGCTCGTCTCAACTAGAGAAAGCCTGTGCACAACGGTGAAGACCCAGTGCCACAAAAAACAAAGTACCCCGTTCAGTGGTTTTTAGGTATCCATAATGTACAACCACCACCACAATCTAATTTTATTTTACTTTATTTTGGCTGCATCACTTGGCATGCAGAATCTTAGTTCTCATACCAGGGATCCAACCTGTGCCCCCTGCAGTGGCAGTGTGGTCTTAACCACTGGACTGCCAGGGAAGTCCCACCACAATCTAATTTTAGAACATTTTCAACCCCCCCGCCCCCACCCCCGGAGAAACCTCGTGCCTGTTAGCAGTCTGTCCCATTTCCTCTTTGGGTCAGTCATGACATCTACTATGATTTGCCTGTTCTGGACATTTCATATACAAAAAATTGTACAACACATGTTCTTTTACATCTAGCTTTGTTCATTTAGTGTGGTATTTTCAAGGTCACATGTATCACACTCCGTCACTTCTTTTTCACTTCTCAACAACATCCCGTTGTATGGATATACTACAGTTTGTGTATCCACCCATCAGTTGATGGACATGTGGGTTGTTTCCATTTTTCATTGTTGCTGAAATGGATGCTGTGGCTTTGGATCAATTTACTTTTTCAGATCTCACCTACCACTCCGCCCTTCTCATCTCAATTGTTGTTGTTCTGTCACTAAGTTGTGTCCGACTCTTTGCAAGCCCATGGACTGAAGCACACCAGGCTTCCCTGACCTTCACTATTTTCCGCAGTTTGCTCAAACTCATGTCCATTGATTCAGTGATGCCATCCAACCATCTCACCCTCTGTTGCCCCCTTCTCCTCCTGCCCTCTATCTTTCCCAGCATCAGGGTCTTTTCCAATGAGTCAGCTCTTTGCATCAGGGGGCCAAAGTATTGGAGCTTCAGCTTGAGTAGCAGTCTTTCCAGTGAGTATTCAGGGTTGATTTCCTTTAGGATTGACTGGTTTGGTCTCCTACTCCCAACCACTTGCCTTTATTAGAACCTACTACCGTCTCTTTCACTCTGCTTTTGCCCATGCTGTTCCCTCTGCTTGTATGCCCTTCCCTTCTTCTCCACCTGTTGATCTCTGGCCCTTCTTTCAGGATCCAGCTCAGCAGTCACCTCTGTGAAGCCTCCGCAGACCTGCTCAGCTCTCTGAGCTGCCTCCCACCCCGTGCTGGGCGGCATACCACCCACGACTGCAGTGTTGTTTCCTGCTGGGGTCTGAGGGCACAGAGTGGGTCTTACCCACCTCTGCATCCCCAGTGCCTGCCAGCGGCAAGTACACTTTAACCAGAAACATAATTCCTCCCCTTCCTCTTTTGTGTCTGAGTCTCCCACTGGCCAACTGCCTATGACAGAGTGGGGCTTTAGTGTTGAGGCTTTGTGAAATGATAACATAACACTGTTTACTCTTCCCCTGGACCCAGACAGGTCATAAGCATCTAATCTTTGGCAAATGTTGAGACATTGGCTTTATTAAAATCCATTTATTCCCCAAGGAGCTCTCTTTTATAAAGGCCAAATCAATAATAGTGATGGTAAGAGCCATAATAATAATAACTCTCCTGAAAACAGGGTCTCTCCAGTTACAAAGCACTTCTCCAGCATGCTATCTCATTTCCTCAAGGTTGTGCTGTTGATTTGAAATGTTGCTTTCAGGAGCAGGCATGGAGCCCCATTAACCATAGGGCTAATGGAATTAAATTGGGCTGTGCTGTGCCACCTTCAGACTCAGCCAGCACGAGCCTTTTCTGCAAGGGAGTGAAACGGACCCTGATTAGGCCAAGGGGTCTGTTTATGGAGTTGTTTTTCTTGGCAGCTGTCAACCTGCATGAAGCAGGATGTAAACGGCATCCACAGCCTGATGGAGGCCATGCTCCCAGATGCAGCCTCAGCTGCAAGGGGCTCTTGCCCGCGTGTGATGTTAAAACAGTCTTGCATGGAGGAAACTCAAAGCCGTCTCATTTACTAAAATTCTTCTGTTCAGCATGGAAGGGAAGTGAGCTGGCCCCTGGGAGCCTCCTTCTGGGTCAGATTCAGCCTGACTTGGCCTATTTCGAGCCACGAATGAGGCTTTTCTTCTTTTATGGGGAAGGGGCAGGCACGTGGAGAATTCCCCGGGGTCTGCTCAATCTTCTCTGCCCATTACAGTAACTCATGGCTAACGTGGCTAGGAAGCCTTCCCTGGCCAAAAGTAAACAGAGGCGTTCGATTCCCCTGGGGCCGTGCCTTCCTGCACACGTCTCTCATTCAGCTGGCCCCCAGCATCTATTGAGTGCCTGCCACGAGTCAGGTTCTGATGACAAGAACCCCTCCTTAGTCCTGGGCTTGATGGCATAAGTGTCCCCTTCATGGGCACTCAGAGCTGGAGGGGGGTTCACGGTTTTCAGCACTGGGCTCATGCCCCAAACACTAAGGGCCTTTCCTTGGGGCTGGGTGATTCTTAGGGAGGACCCAAGGCCCCATAGCAGGGAGGCAGGTAAGAGATCAGGTCTGGGAGTCAGCCAGGCCTGGGTCTGAAGCTAAGCCTGGCCACTTCCTCTACCTGTCTGTCAGGAGGGAGAAAAGCAACCCGGAGGGGAAGCTGGGAGGCCTGACCTGATTAGATGACATGGCGCAGGGTTCTCAGAGTGGGTCCCTGGACCACAAGTATCAGCATCACCTATGTTCTCGTAAGAAACATGAATTCTCAGGCTCCATCCCAGGCCTACAGAATCAGGAATGCTGGGGGTGGGGCTCAGGAATCTGCATTTCAGCAAGTTTCGTGGCTAAACAGCAACTCTCTTCACCCCCACTGCTTCCCCTGGAGATTCTGAGGCTCCCGAAAGTTCGAGAAACTTAGAGTCCTGGTTCTCCACCTTGGCTGCCCATGACTCTGGATGATGGCAGAGGGTGGCGACTTAAAGATGCTGATGCCTGAGCTGCAGCCCAGATCCTGAACGACAGCCGGGACACTGGGAATCATCGAAGCTCCTCAAATGATTCCACTGCACTGAGGCTGAGCACTGCTGGTTTTGAGCCACAAGAAACAGAGCTTCTAGTATTATTGTTCCTCTCTGCTTTCAAACTGTGGTGCTGGAGAAGAGTCGTCCCTTGGACTGCAAGGAAATCAAGCCAGTCAATCCTAAAGGAAATTAATCCTTAATCTTTATCAGAAGGACTGATGCTGAAGCTGAAGCTCCAATACTTTGGCCACCTGATGTGAAGAGCCAACTCATTAGAAATCAGACCCTGACGCTAGGAGAGATTGCAGGCAGGAGGAGAGGGGGACAACAGAGGATGAGATGGTTGAATGGCATCACTGACTCAACGGACATGAGTGTGAGCAAGCTCCAGAAGATAGTGAAGGACAGGGAAACCTGGCGTGCTGCAGTCCAGGCGTCGCAGTTGGACACGACTGAGCGACTGAACAACAAAGACCGGACTGGCTTCAAATAATGGCTCTCTCATTGACTAGCACCAGGTTCTCTGGACCTCAGTCCCTGACCTCAAAACATGGCACGATTTGTCCAGATAGCTACATGCAAGCAAAGGCCAGTGCCTCATTCATAGCTGGAGTTAAAAATGGGGAAAATGAGGTTCAGAAAAGAGAGTGTCTTGCCCATGCTTATTCTATAATGATTCTTTATTTTGAAGTTTCAGCATAACCAAAGGAATGCATCTCTAATGGTGGAAATATAGGCACCTGAACGGGCTTCAGGGCTTACTGTGAGGGCATGGTGGTTTCCTGGTAGCACTCTGAATCACAGGATCTGGGGGGCCAAGGTTAGTAAATGGAGGGAAGAACCATCATCTGGCCACTGGCACTTGGTTTCTACTACGCGGCTCCAATGTATCTTTTCAGTGTCCAGTCTACCTTGAGGCACAGCCGAATGGACTATAATCACTTTCCCTCTAACACACACCAGAGCTTCCCACTTTTGTGCCTTTGTTTGTGCTCTTTATCCCTCTGGAATACCCTTTCACTCCTATTCACCAGATAAGGAAACTGAGGCTCAGAGAGGCTGGGCAGTTTTTTCAAGGTCACATGAAGGATAATGATTTCAAACAGGGGGATGCTGCTGTTTAAACCCAGGGGTGTAGCATTTAGATCCTGAAATGCAGCCCTGTCCTTCACAGCCCAGAGCAGGACCTCTGGCCCGAGACCGTGGCCAGACCTGACACCTGCTTATCTCTGCGTGGTCTCCTCAACCCTCCTGGAATGCGAGTCTCCTGAGGGCCAGGCTGTGTCTTCCCCACGTCTTCCCAGGGCTGACCTTCTGGAACTGAACGGGAGAAATCAGGTCCTGTTCAGAATTCTATAAACTCCATCCCTAGGTCACCCACATTGGCCTACTAGCCCTGGCTGTAGGAGGAGGGCAGGGAGGGGCCCCTGGATGATGTAAGCAGCCCACCCGCCTTCACACCACTGATGAGAGGCAGAGGCCCAGAAACAGGGCTGTGAGGCTGGCTAGGGGTGTGAATTTCTATTAGCTTCAGATGTCACTGACGGGCTGGATTTATGAATCAGGCACGAAATCCAGGAGCATGTGTCTCCACAGGTGTATTCTACCAAACACATAAAGAAGAACATACACTGGTCCTTTTCAAGCTCTTCCAAAAGAGGAAGGAACACTCCCAGAGATCTTCTATGAAGCCACCATCGCCCTGATACCAAAACCAGACAAAGACACCACCATACACACACAAAAAACCCCCAGTGAATCAGACATGAAGGATGGAGGAAAAGGAAGAATGTTGCTGTGCTCCCCTCAAATGTGCCTGATAAACCAAACAGTATTGCCTTCAATCGAACAGAGACATGGCCATGTCATCTGGCCTCTGACAAGCCTTCCTTCCTATTTACATTAGGTTCAGGCCTATTAACCTGAACCTATTAATATTAACTATTAACCTATTAACTATTAATTAGCCTATTAATATTAACATGACACTGGATTCCCTAAAGTCCACTGGTTCCTGATCACACTGGGCTCAATCATCTTTGGGGGACTTCATACCTCCTGTTCTCTGCCTGCAATGTTCTAACTGGCCCCATCCCCCTTTCAAATTTATCTATTTGGCTGCACTGGGTCTTAGTTGCAGCATGTGGGATCTTTAGTTGTGGCATGTGAAATTTTTTCAGTCATGGCATGTAAACTCTTAGTTGCATTATGTGGGATCTAGTTCTCTAACCAGGGATTGAACCCAGGCCCTCTGCATTGGAATCTCAGAATCTTAGCCACTAGACCACCAGTGAAGTCCCTCTAACTCCCTTTCTTAAGCCCCAAGCCTCCCCATAGTTCACCAGGTTCTCTTCAGCCTGCAGTATTCCAGCTGGCACCCCATCAAGGGGCCTTCCCCAATCTCCCTGGTCTGAGTTGTCATTGCGCATTGGTTCTCTCACACTCACTCCAACTTTATATTGTAATTGACTAATTACTCAGAGTTATCCATTCTGGATTGTGAGGCCCCAGGGGAAGAATGCCCTTTATCCTTGTCTCTCCAGGCCCCAGCACAGTGTTGGGCACATAGCAGGTGCTCAATTAACGCTGTGGGCTTGCATGGATGGTAAGGGGGAGGGGTAGTGTGAAGACAAGGGCCAGAAGTGCAGGAGCTGATGACAGTGCAGTGGCTGATCCACAGGTGGAGGCTGGGAGGGGCCCACTGGTGCCCCGCACCCACAGGCAGAGTTCCTGGTCACTGCAGGGGCTCACCTGAAAGATGGGGTACTTCACGTACCCGATCTCTATGCAGGTGCCGTCGTTCGTTGGTTTGCTGGAGAGGAGTGCTTTGAACCTGAGTGAGAACATAAAAGGGAGAGAAGACTCACAAAGACATCCATAGCTTGCAAGGCTCAGCTCTCTGATGATAGAAACATGTAATATATCCTCCAACTCAGAAATACGATGACATATCCATAGATTGTCTAATATAATGTCCCCTGATATGATACCATAATCCAATTTGAAGTTAAAGCGCTAAAGTTAAAAACAGTGCCTAGAACTGTTAAATTACTTCTCAAGCAGGTGATTTGAAAAGAACAAATGCCTTTTAAAACGCTGTCCAGGGAATTCCAGCTGGCGGTCCAGTGGTTAGGACTCTGAGCTTCCACTGCAGGAGACCCAGGTTTGATCCCCAGTTGGGTAACCAGGATCCCACAAGCTGCGCGGTGAGGCCAAAAGAATAAATAAAGTAAGAAACAAAAAACCACTTCCACCTTGCAGGCCCATCACAAAGGCTGCCTCCTTCCTTGAGTCCTTCCTGACTCAAATTTCAAGCTGCTCAGGCGCCCCTGGAGCTCTCCAACTCACTCCTTCCTCCTACACAACCTTTGTTCCAAGAGGCGAGGGGCTGCTGCTGACTCTTCCCTCTGCTGCATCCCCAGAGCCTGAACCAGGCTGGCCCTGATGCATGGTGGGTATTGAACATCATAGGCATCAACATCTGTTGATTACCTAACTGTCTCCCAAAAGGAATGACCTTCTGTTGGGGGTTTTAGATGCATTTTCCTGCCACTGGCTAAACGAGGATCCTCGTGGATAGAGACCCAGCCAGTGGAACACACTGATACTCTATTTACTTACTTATTTGGCTGCATCAGGTCTTGGTTGTAGCGCGTGGGATTTTCACTGCACTATGCGGGATCTTTCAATATGGCACATACACTCTCTCGTAGTGGTGCTTGGGTTCAAAGGTTGCAGTGTGGGCTCGCTGCTCCACACCATGTGGGATCTTAGTGCCCCGACCAGGGATTGAACCCTCATCCCCCGCAGTGCAGGGGATTCTAGCAACTGAACCACCAGGCAAGTCCCCCATACTCAACACATTTAGAAATAAGCTCAGACATGTCTCTTTTTATAAATTAAACTTTACATTTGAAATAATTTCAGATTTATAGAAGAGTTGGGAACATAGTACAGAAGTTCCAGTATGCCCTTCACCCAGTTTGCCCCGATGTTACCATCTGACATAGTCATGGTACCTTGTTAAAACTAAGAAGTTAACATTGGTACAAGCTACAGTTCATGGGGTCGCAGAGTCGGACACAACTGAGCTACTGAACACACACACACACACACACACACACACATACACACAGAGTATTGATATAGCTCTTCCATGATGTCACAACAGAACCATGCAAAGGATAGTATATTTTTCTTCCCTGTCCTTCACTATCTCCTGGAGTTTGCAGGGATGATGTTTTATTGTTGTCAACTCCAGGGTTCAGGAAAAGTAAGATTCAGGACCTGTGTATTTTGAGCACCTTATGCCTAAGTTCCCTGATATTTGGAGAGCAGGCATTTCAAGGCTGCAGTGTGAGTTTTCAGGTTGCATGAGGACACCTGGCTAAGGAAGTTCAAGCCAATCCACTCTCTACTCACGAAGCTCTGTGCTCAGTATGTGCTCCATCTGCCCAGAGGAACAGTGTCTTGGCTAAGCCACCCAAAGACTGCTGATTATGCTAGAGACTGCTCTGTATTCTTCTTCCAAATTGCGGTTAAAAAATACATAACATAAAATTTACTGTCTTAACCAGTTTTGAGTGTTTACTAATATTTACATGGAGTATATTCACATCATTGTGCAATCAATCTCCAAGACTTACCCTGTCCTCAAAAAACAACTCCTACTCCCCCTCCCCTAGCCCCAGTTCCCAGCCTACTATTTACTGTCTCTATGAACTTGATTTTCCCTGCTAGCTCAGCTGGTAAAGAATCTGCCTGCAATGCAGAAGACCTGTGTTCAATCCCTGGGTTGGGAAGATCCCTTGGAGAAGGGAATGGCTACCCACTCCAGTATTCTGGCCTGGAGAAAAAAGTCAGACACAGCTGAGCTGCTTTCACTTGCATGAACTTGCTCACTGATGGTTCATATAAAAGGGATCATATACGATAATATTTGTCTTTTTATGACAGGCATATTTCACTTCATATAATGTCCCCATTCATACTGTAGCATGTGTCAGAACTGGCTTCCTTTTTAAGGCTGAATAATGTATGTATATGTGTGTGTGCGTGCTGTCGCTTCAGTCATGTCTGACTCTCTGTGACCCCATGGACTGTAGCCCACCAGGCTCCTCTGTCCGTGGGATTCTCCAGGAAAAGATATTGGAGTTGGTTGCCATGACCTCCTCCAGGGGATCTTCCCGACCCAGGGATTTAATTTGCATCTCTTATGTCTCCTGCATTGGCAGGCAGGTTCTTGACCACTAGCGCCACCTGGGAAGCCCAAGGTATGTATACGCTACATTTTAAAATCCAGTTCTCCATGCATGGACTCCTAGGTGGCTTCTTCCTTTTGTCTTTGTGAATCATGTTGCCTGAACAAGGTATACAAATGCCCTATAATCTTGGAACCTAGATTTTGAGAAGAAAATCTGCCCATTCAGTGTCAGTGATGATACCATCCAAACTGAATTTTAGAGAATAGTAATAACCACCCTTATAATTCAGTGCTTTCAAAACTGATGATACATACCTTGGAGATGCTGTAAATAACAGCACTTTGTGAGCATAAAATGGTCTTCCTTCTACCAGAAAGGTGACATCTGACATTTCTTTATTGTTAAGGAAATGAGGATCTGGAACAGGAAAAGGAGAGAGGGTAGCTTTAGAGGAGAGAAGGATGAGGTTTGGATTCCTCTTTTGGAAAAGCGCTCATAAGAGCTGAGGGAGGCCATGGTGATAAAATACTTGTTGGAGGGACTGTGACCAAACAGGAAACAGGATCAGTTACAGGAATGTGCAATTAACTGGAATTCAATATTTCACAGGGAATCTTCACAGCTTAGTTGTGATTAAAAGTAGCATTTCCCCTTAGAAGATTCACCCCCAGCCAGAGTTCAGATGACCGTCAGGTGTGGTGGGTGACCACCCACCCCACCTCACTCCTCCTTCTTCAGCTCAGCGCCCTCCTTTCCGGACGGAAGTGGTTCCCGCCCGTTTGGTGCTGTGTTTCAGGGGATTTGAAATCCATGCCTTCTCTCAGGATCAGAGGCCAAGGAGCCAGGCTCCTGCCCTCATTTCCAAGAAAAAAGATGTGCCAGGCACCGTGCGAGCTGGCGCCGACAGGTGGAAACTCACTCAGCCCTAGGAGAGAGGGACCATAGTCAGCTGTATGACAGGGAAATGAAGCCGGGAGTCGCAGTGACTCGGTCAAGCGAGTGGCTGGTGGAGAAGCCAGGATGTGAACTTGGACGTTCTGACTCCAGGGCCTGCATTGCTAGGCACTGGACTCCTGCGATTTGCCTGGCATCTTAGGCATTTCCACTCGGGCTATAAAAGGTGCCAGCCTGTCCTGAGCTCAGCACTGCGGTCTTGCTGGAAAATCCACAACTGGCCCAGGCACCTCTACCCCTACCCGATTCCACCATGCTCACTTTCCAAGTCAGACCCCTGGCCTGGCCCCCTTCACACACCCTGCTGTAACTTAGAACCAGAATTGGCCTTTCTGGCTGATTCTCCTCCTGGTTGATTCACCTTAGGTGGTGGCCCTGGGTATCTGCTATTCATATTTCTTTGGCAGTACCTATAGCCTCTTGACCTCTTCCCAATAAAAAAGCTTTAATCTAAACCATACAAAAAAGCATAAAAATGTCAAATCATCTGTTAATTATACTCTTAAAATTTTTTTAAATTAAAAAATGCAACAAAAACCAAACTTCTAAAACCTTTCATGTAAAGGGAAGAGACTGGAGGAGGAAATGGCAACCCACTCCAGTATACTTGCCCATGAAACCTCATCAACAGAGGAGCCTGACAGGCTATAGTCCATGGGGTCAGAAAAGAGCTGGACGCAACTTAGTGACTAAACAACAACAACGAAGAGAAGAAAGGCTATAGAGGAAGGCCAGCAACCCATCTCCCTCTGCTCAGACTCTCACTGATACTATCCACCTTCAGCTAGCTCCCACTCCCGCTTCCCAAACTGCTAACATCTCCTACCTTTAGCTCTTTTTACCATTCTCCCCCAGAATTCACTGGGCGGGCAGAGGACAATGTCATATAAAAAAACCAGGCGTGTGCTCTCCAGTTTGCCACAGTCCCCACCACTCCCTATTGTGTTACACCAAACCCATTTCATTCATTTACATGACCTTCCTGGCCTTATGGAGATGCCACTTTGGGACTTTTGTCACTACTCACTCTTCTCTTTCCTTATAAGCAGGTCCCTAAGGAATAACTATTTGACCATCTTTAGTTATCTGAGCTTGGAATGTCGTATTGAAGATGCAAAACACTATATGCTTTATATTCCACTTATTAATTATTATATTATGTCCTTTTTCTTTCATCTGTGAGCTTCGAACTTCTCAGGCCTGCCTTCTTTCTCTTGGTGTTTGGAATTACAATGCTTGGCCTGAAAACCAGCCCCTTAAAATGCTGCCGAAAAAAAACCCAACAAAATCAAGAAGAAAAAAAAATTTCTCTCCTCTCCTATAGCTACAGGAGAGCAGATTTTATGCTGCATCACTGAAACAGCCCTTGCAAATGTTTGCTCTAACAGGGGTGTCTTGTAAGGCACCAGATGTCAGAAATTATTGCTATGCCCTAGCAGTGTAACCCTCACTCTCTAAAGTCTATAAATTTGATGGATCTTCATGATTTGTTGCCCTGGTAATATTTTAATTAACACCTGCTTTCTACAAGGTAGAACTACTTGCAGCTTTAGTACATTTTGGGTTGCCTACATGCTTAAAATATTCAGAAAACTAAGATCATGGCATCCGGTTCCATCACTTCATGACAAATAGATGGGGAAACAATGGAAACAGTGCCAGATTTTATTTTTTGGGCTCCAAAATTATTGCAGATGGTGACTGACTGCAGCCATGAAGTTAAAAGATGCTTGCTCCTCAGAAGAAAAGCTATGACCAACCTAGACAGCATATTAAAAGCAGAGACATTACTTTGCACTAAAGGTCCATCTAGTCAAAGCTATGGTTTTTCCAGTAGTCATATATGGATGTGAGAGTTGGACTACAGAGAAAGCTGAGCACTGAAGAATAGATGCTTTTAAACTGTGGTATTGGAGAAGACTCTTGAGAGTCCCTTGGACTGCAAGAAGATCAAACCAGTCAATCCTAAAGGAAATCAGTCCTGAAAATTCATTGGAAGGACTGATGCTAAAGCTGAAGCTCCAATACTTTGGCCACCTGATGCAAAGAACTGACTCATTTGAAAAGACCCTGATGCTTGGAAAGATTGAAGGCAGGAGGAGAAGGGGATGAGGACAGAGGATGAGATGGTTGGATGGCATCACCGACTTGATGGACATGAATCTGAATAGGCTCTGGGAACTGGTGATGGACAGAGAAGCCTGGAGTGCTGCAGTCCCTGGGGTCACAAACAATTAGACATGACTGAGTTACTGAACTGACTGACATGAATGGGCATAAAGAAAACAAGGCAACCTTTGACTCAGCTGCTAAGTTTTCCACTTTAGCAAAAACTTGTGCCATTTAAATTAATAGGTTATTTGTGACAGGAACAAAAATACTTTAAAGCATTTCTATGAAATCAGCCTTTTCACTAATTTAAACTAGCTCATCTATTTCAAAAGTAGGGGCTTTGCTAAAGGGTAGCATTTTTCAGCTGCTTCCATTTCTCCAAAGTTTCCTGGTCTTCATAGGAGAAGGAAACAGGAAGCAGGAAAGTCCCTAACCTGAATGGGAAGGGGAGTCCTTTATCTGTAATATTTTATCAGTCCCCAGGCAGTGAGAGACAAGCCTTTGCAAAAGAAGATTCATGCTTCAGGCTTCAAGGCAGTCAGGTGTTTGCCTTTTTCCCTGGGTGATTCACCAGGTTGCCAGCAGCCCCAGGATCTTCTGCATGAAATTGGTGCCTGACGGAAAGGTTTCTTCTCGAAAATCCGAGAGGCCGCCTGGAGAAAGGTGGGATTGTGGCTTTGGTGGGGGACCTGGGTTCAGGCTCCAGCTCTGACTGAACTGATGCTGAAGCCTCTGCAGAGCCTCCCTGTCTTCAGCTGTGACCCCGATAACACTGCCTGCCTCCCGGGTAGCCCAGGGATTGTTTGAGAGAGTAGCGGGGAGCTTGGCTAGGGCTAGCTCAAAGCAAGTGTCCAAGAAGGGTGAAGAGTAATTACTGCCAACCCGATGGGAGTTCAGGGCATCCCATCTCCTCAGTTCAGCACCATTCCCCGTGTGTGTGTGTGTGTGTGTGTGTGTGTGTGTGTGGTGTTTGTCTAGAGGGTGATGCTTGCTCATCTCTCCTTCCAGTTCCTTGCAGGACTTCCATTAGGGGCATACTACCGGCCTGTCACTGTATCCTGCTCATTCCATCTCAAGGAAGAGGAACTTCTTAGAGGAGAGAATGGGGGAGAGTGGCTATGCAGATCTCAGCCTTCTCTGGACTCTACCAGGCTACTGGAAGGGCGTGGGCAGTCATCACTGTCGGTGATGTGCAGAAGAAAGGTGCTCAGTGAAGGGATGAGGTGCTGGTGAGTCCCCTTGTCCATATCCCCAATGTATGCTCTCCAGACAGTTTAATCATGTAACACAGGTGATACCCCGATCTCCACCTGCCTCACTCCTGTATCCACCCTGTTTGCCCTCCAACATGCCCACCTTCTTCTTTTGCTGCGTTTGCTTCCTTCCTGTCCTCAAATCACAAAGCAACAGTGCAAGGTGGGACCCAGGAAGCCCCCACTCACCCAGGCGTGAGGTCTGCTTCCGTTTGATCTCTGTGAGCTTGGGGATGGGGTACGGCCCGTAGCAGTGAGTGAAGATGACACACAGCTGCTGGCTGATCACTTCGTTCTGTGGAAAGGGAAGAACAGCTCACATTGATGGGGGCTGTGGGAGACCTCATCCGAGCCCCCATCCCTGCCCCCGCCGTGGACCAGAGGAGCCCACAGACTGCCTGCAGGTTCCAAGAGAAATTCCCTGGACATCACACCTTCGCTTTGCCTGACAGGCCCTGGGTTTGCTTGTTCAGTTTGTCCACCATTTCTAGCAGGTGTATGGTGGAAGTTTAACTTGTAATTAAATCTTTTCTTGCTCCAATCATTTTTTTTTATTGGAATATAATTGCTTTACAATGTTGTGTTAGTTTCTGATATACAACGAAGTGAATCGGCCATGTGTATACATATATTCCCTCCCTCTTGGACCTCCATCCCACCCCTCTCCCAATCCCAACCCTCAAGGTCATCTCAGAGCACTGAGCTGGGCTTCCTGTGCTTTATAGCTATCTGTTTTACACATGGAGGTGTATATATGCCAACCTCAATCTCCCAATTCATCCCACCCTCCTTGTCCCCGCACTGTGTCCACATGTCCATTCTCTATGTCTGCATCTCTGTTCTGCCCTTGGAAATACGTTCATCTGTACCATTTTTCTAGATTCTACCTATATCTGTTAATATACAATATTTGTTTTTCTCTGACTTACTTCACTCTGTATGACAGATTCTGGATCCACCCACATCTCTAAAAATGAACTTATTTCACTCCTTTTAGTGGCTGGGTAATAGTCCACTGTGTATAGATACCACATCTTCTTTAACCATTCATCTGTCTTTGGAGAGCAATCCCACTACTGGGTATGTATCCAGTGAAAAACCATAATGCAGAAGGACACCGTGCCCCAGTGTTTACTGCAGCACTATTCACAGTATCCAGGACATGAAATCAACTTCAATATCTAATCATTTCTTTACTTGCATTGGAAAGCAAGTTTTGCAACTCACAGGATGGAAAATAAGTTTTTACCATAAGCACAGCTTTATCAATGCTGAAACATTCTGAGAGCAGCTAATTAGCCTAAAAATGGCAGCAGGAAGCCCTTCCGGTCCTGTGTCCGCACTCTTCACCACCAAGACACAAAGGCTCCTGGTTTAGCTTTCCTGTGCACTTGATTCTGGTGCTGAGGCATTTCTGGATCCAGAAGTGCTCAGCTGAGTCACTTTCTCCTAAAAAAAGTGTGTGTGTGTTTTGGAGGAACAGTTCTGCGATGGAAAACTACGGCTGTTCCAGTACTCTAGGAGCCTGTTTCTGATCAGCCTCCATCCTTCACGTCCTTCCCTCCTGTCCACGGGGGCCCGTGCTGGCCCATTAATCTCCCTCCAACTGCAGATGTGCAGGAGGGAAGCCAGGAATCACAGCATGTTTGGGATGCTTTCTATTGGGTGAACAAGGTTGAAACCAGGGGCTAAAAAACAGTGGTTAGATAACTCGATATTTACAATATATTAAGAAAAGTAGGTTACAACAGTTTGTACCATGTAGTTTTGGAAATAAAAGCCTACATATGTATTTGGATTGATAGGTATAGAAAAAGGTCTGGAAAATAGAGTAGCTACCTTTGGGTGGGATGATGATGTTTTCTTCTTATATATTTATAATCTTTTTACAATAAACAAGTGTTGCTTTGTACATAAATGCAATAAATGCTATTTCTGATTTTAAAAAGATAGGTTTGGGACTACTAATGATGTTATCAGTTCAAGCTATGCTTGAATTTACTTCACTGTGTTCCTGAAAGAGAGGGATTGCAGTTCAACAAATGAAAAGAAATCCAACCCTTTGATCCTACAAGACACCATGTTACCTCAGATGGGGTGCAGAGAAGTGCCCAAGCGAAGGCAATTATATTGGACAGAAAAAGGGATTCTACTTTCAAAGATGAAGGCCTTGTGATGGAAAGTGTTACCTGCTCCTCTCACTTAACCCGCACAAAGCAACTGGCTCACGGTTCCAGCAGTGGTTCTCAACGTGTGGTCCCCAGACCACCTGAGCTTGTTAGAAATGCATGCCCTCAGATCCCATCTCAGACCTCTGACCCAGAAACACTGGGGGCGGGGCCCAGCAATCAGTATTTTAACAAGTTTTCTGCTGATTCTGATGTCCCCTTAGGTTTGAGAACCACAAGTTTAATGTTCTGAAATTCTGTCTTAGGTTCGACTTCAGCTGGCAACTGTAAATTTCCTCTGGTTTAAAGCCCGGCCATGGGCTTCCCTGGTGGCTCAGTGGTACAGAATCTGCCTGCCAATATAGGGGATGCAGGAGACTTGGGTGCAATCCCTGGGTTGGGAAAATCCCTTGGAGAAGGAAATGGCAACCCACTCTAGTGTTCTTGCCTGGACAGTCCCATGGACAGAGAAGCCTGGAATGTTCTAGTCCATGGGGTTGCAAAGAGTTGGACACAACTCAGTGACTAAACAACAACAAAGCCTGACCATAGAAATATGCTCCACTGACCAGCACGCAGCAGCAGTACTGCCTGGGAACTTTCGAGAAATGCAGACTCTCACCCTAGGCCCACTGAATCAGATCCTCATTAACACGCTCTGCAGGTGACTCCCGTGCACACTGATGTTGGAGATGCATCAGGTGGTAGGTCCCTAGTCCCCCACCTCTGGGATCTAATGCCTGATGATCTGAGCTGGAGCCCATGTAATAGAAATAAAGTGCACAATAAATGTAATATGCTCGAATCATCCTGAAACATTCCCTCTCACTCCCCAGTCCATGGAAAAATTGTTTCCCATGAAACCAGTTCCTGGTGCCAAAAATGGTTGGGAACCGCTGCCCTAGAAGATTGCATGCCCTAACCCCGGGGACTAGGAACATCATGAGATACCATGATGCCCATCAATCTGTTCTCTTTCAGGGCAAAAGGGACTTGGCAGGAGTAATTAAGGTCACTAAGTAGTTGCCCTTAAAAAAGGGAGATTACTTTGTGCTGTCTGGGTGGGCCCAGTGTAATCACATAAGCATTTAAAATGCATGAGAAACTCAGGAGGGATGGAGGAGAAGAGGAAGTCAGAGGGACTGGAAGCCTGAGAAGGACTTGATGAACTGTTTCTTGAAGACGGCAGGGGCCACATAGTAAGCTTGAGAGGGAATGCAGGCCCTGACACTGGGAAAAAATATGACCCCTGCTGACCCTCAACAAAGAAATGCAACCATGAGGAACTGAATTTCATCCAAACCTGAATGAAGTTACAAATGGATTCTTCCCGAGTGTCTAGGAAGGAACCCAGCTGCTGACACCTTGATATTGGTCTTGTGAGACCCTAAACAGAAAGCCCAGCTGAGACCCTATGCCTGGACTTCTGACCCATGGAAACCACAAGACGGTAAATGGGTGTCATCTTCAGCTTCTAAATTGCAGTCATTTGTTATTGTGGCAGTGGAAACTAATACAGTTCGACTAGCGTTTGCCTCAGGTGGACCCTATTTTGTCATCCCTATGACCCCAGGGAGTCCGACACATTAGGGATGCCCAGTGAGTACTTGCATGTCACGTGAAAGATGAGATGGTGACCTGCAAGATGCTCTGTGCAAATTGTGTTGACGAATGGTGCTGGACTCACTACTTGCACCCAGGGATGTCTCAGGAGCCTTGCTGGTAAGTCAGCCCCCGTCTCATCAACTCTGGGAAGGAATGAAGATGTCCTTCCTGGACTTGATGACCCTTAGGAGAAGCCTGGGGGTTTCCCCGGTGCCCCAGTGGTTAAGAATCTGCCAATGGAGGGGACACAGGTTCAATCCCTGGTCTGGGAACTGAGATCCCATGTGACACAGGGCGACTAAGTCTGTGCGCCACACCTACTGGACCCATAGCCTAGAGCCTGCGCTCCACAAAGAAGTCACGCAATGAGAAGCCTGCGCACTGCAACTAGAGAACAGCCCCCACTCTATCCACAACCAGAGAAAGCTCGCGAGCAGCAGTGAAGACCCAGCACAGCCAAAAAGAAACAAATGAATAAATAAGTAAAAATATTCAAAAAAAGAGAGACGCNTTTTTTTTTTTTTTTTTTTTGGTAGTGGTGGTGATTGTTTAATTCAATTCAATAGGTACCTATTCAGCATCTTAAGAGGTGACCCGCACTGTGAAAGGAGCCACATATATTAGGGGCAACAAAGCAAGCTCCCATCTCTCCAGGACCTCACAGCTTGCCCTTGCTTCCTCACTTCAATATGTGTTGTATCATCCAAGAAAGTAAAGACAAGGGCCGCCTGTTCTGAAGGGACCCTCCTCAAACACTTAGAAATTATCTGGGAGGCACATAGCTCCCCACTCTGATGTCAGGGCTGCACATAGTGATTTGATTCCAAAGAGCACAGTCTGGAAAGTGAGAGGAAGGGGAGAGTAAGTCTGCGGTGGAGGAATTTGGCAAACACGGCGTCAGCCAGGTGATCAAGGTCATCATCTCCAGTGATGAGTCATACTGATAATATGTACCTTTGATGTGATGAGAAAGGCACTTTACCTCTGAGGTCATCCTTCCCGAAACCTCAGTCTAAAGCCTCAGTCTGAATCATGAGACAATCAATGCCTCTTCCACTAGAGGGGCAGCCTATAAAATAGTGACCAGCACTTCTCAATAAAGGTCATAAAAAGCAAGGGAAGCCTGAGACTTCCCTGGAGGCCCAGTGGCTATGATTTCACCTTCCAGTGCAAGGGGTGCAGGTTTGATCCCCGGTCAGGGAGCTAAGATTCCCACATGCCTTAGGGCCAAAAAACCAAAACATAAAACAGAAGCAATACTGTAACAAATCCAATAAAGACTTAAATTACCCACATAAAAAAAAATCTTAAAAAACCAACACACACAAGAAAAAAAACAAGGAAAGGCTGGGATACTGTCTCAGCCAAGAGTAGCCTAAACAGGTATGACAACTAAATGTAACATGGTGTCCTGGATGGGATCCTAGAGCAGAAAAAGACACTGGATACAGAGAAAATAGCAATAAAGCATGGGATTTAGCTAACAATTGGAGAGGGGAATGGCAACCCAAACCAATATTCT